TTTCCGATGTTGGCAACGCTTATTCAGGGATTTCTAAGACAGTCGCAGACAATCAGCCCACGGATGTACGTACAAAACATGCTGTTGTACTACCGGCGACGGTCGCCTGCAGGAAGAGAGCTCCAGCTCCTAACGTAAAAGTTTTAAAATTAAAATTAGTGTTGGAAATCTGACATGTTTTAAGAGTGCAAAATTAAGGTGCATTTTCGAGCGATCGAAATTCGGGATGGGATTTAGAAAAAAAATAAAATGGACTTTTAAGGTGTATTTTGGCGTCATTTTCGGATATTTCAATCATTCCTGGTGCCTAAAATAGAGTCTAAGTTTTACCGTAGTCATTGACGCCTATTCAAGAGTATGATGTTTTTTGTGACTAGCGTGAATGGGTAAGCTTCGTTTCGACAATGAGCAGTTATCACTGTAAACAATGTTAAATTATTCTTCACATGCTCAGTTTATTTTTTGAGAACAATTATTTAAAAATAAAATCTCTCAGTCAATCAGAAACTCGGATTCATGCCTTCAGGGAAAGTCATGTTTGGACGCTCACATCAATTTTGGTTTTCGTTCGGTGGGCTGATGCCTTCAGTGTAGCTTTTGCATCTTCCGACATAGAAATCATCTGAATTTTCTTTCTACCTCTCTTTCACACCACGCATAATGTAATGATAAAAATTAGGAAAAAACGCTGAGGAAATATGTTTGGTTTGCTAGCGAGCGAGAACTGATTTGAGAATAATTGCACATGCGCGTAATTGAATGAACTATGACCGTACAATCTCGATTTGCATATTGTCAATCAAAGGTCCTGTTATTTGGTTACTCATGCAAATTAGGCAATTGGACATAAACATTGCCACGTGTGAGTGTTTTTTATTTTTAACCAGAAAATAAACAGCAATTTTAACGGTGTTCCAATAAGAATTCATTGGTCAAATTTTCACAGAATGTTCTTTAGATAAAAATCTATATAAAAAACGAAAAAAACTATTTTTGATTGAAATTCACAAATAAACTGCATCTCTACCTTAAGGTCAGAAAGATATATAAATTAAAATGTCTGTTTGGTGTCATTGTATATATTAACATTCTTACTGTGGTCTTGATATTAAACTAGATTTGTCTTCTGATGTTCTCTCATCTCAATGTTGAATGAAATGAATTGCTAAAAGCTTGGTATTTGTTTTAGACAAGTTGGACTGAAATTCTATTTTGGAATTAAGCTTGAAGTCTCATTCTCTATTTTCTTTTGTTCCAGGAAGAGATCTTGCAATCCATGGAAAGATTCCTAGATGATGTTCGTAACCAGTTCCCAAGATTATTCTTTCTCAGTAATGAGGAGGTTGTAGAAATGATTTCCATCTCAAGGAATACTAAACTTTGGCTTCCGTATGTCCGGAAATGTTTTACTGGTATTCGTTCTCTTGGTTTTGCCTTGCCACAATTAGCTGAGGCAGACAGAATGAATACAGCATTGGATATGGCCCTTCATGGTAAGTATTTAATGGAGAAAAATGCATTGATCTGTAATAGGCATATCATACATGGTTGTGATTACCATAAATTTGAATTTGTTTATACCATATATTGATATGATTAGCATAAATTTGAATTAGTTTTCACCATATATGGATATCATATGATTATCATACATTTGAATTTATGTATATCATATATTGATGTGACTAGCATACATTTGAGTTAGTGTATACCATATATGGATGTGATTAGCATGAATTTTATATACCATATATGGATGTGATTAGCATAAATTTGAATTAGTCAATGCCATGTATGGGTGTGATTAGCATAAATTTGAATTTGTTATACCATGTATGGATGTGATTAGCATAAATTCGAATTTGTGTATACCAGCTATGAATGCAATTAGCATTAATTTGAATTTCTGTATGCCATATATGGATGTGATTAGGATAAATTTCAATTTGTTTAAACCATATATGGATGTGTTAGTCATGATTTTTTTCTGTTTTTTTTTGGATTATGACTACAATACAGCCTAGAATTTTCTGTATTCTTTTTGTATTCTTTACCTTTCTCTTCTCCTTTCTTTGCTGACACTTGGAAGATCGTCATAGACTGAGCACTCTATTGGATTCTGAGTTATTCAATGGTAACTCCATTACCAGATATTAACATTAACTGATAAAATGATGGAATAGTAACAAATAATAACGTTAGTGGGTTGCATGTGGTAGTACTATACACTTGGTGATGTGGGTTGGTTGATATAATACCATAATTGGTTACATCTCTAACTCAGTTGATCAAATGTATCTAAGTGAATGTAAGCATTTCACATAATGGTTTTTAATTTAACTCTTTTACGTTAGATTATTCACAATTATGTTTAATTTGTCGGCTTGGACTTGAATCACACACACCACATACCCATTCTCACCTTTGACCATCATGATCAATCATGCAAAAAGGGTACAAAGGGGTACATTTCACTGACTAGGTAGCAAGGATAGTGACTTTAGGGTATTTAAAGTAAAAAACAAATATTAAAATATAAAATTAACAACAAAACAATTCATCTATTTCAACGAAAATCTGCGATTGTATTCGTTATGACTTTATTTGCAGCTGATAAGTTAGAAGTGATTAGCTTGGAAGGCGAATTGGGTGAGAAAGTTTCACTGGTCTCCCCTGTTGAAGCTAAACCTGATGTTGGCAAATGGTTGTCTGCTCTAGAACTGAATATGAAAACAACTCTGGGAACTCTGTTAAGAGTATGTGTTGAAACACGACTCAATGAAGGTATGCTCAAATTCTTGTACAAATGTTAGTGATATTGTGTACTTGTACATTCTCATTTAATTAATAGCATTTTTACTGAATGCTGAATAATACATGCATCCTGTACAATATAATATTGTACAGATACTTAGCACATAGTGCTGTACAATTTACATAATTTTGCACATAGTGCTGCACAGTTACATAATTTTGCACATAGTGCTGTACAGTTACATAATTTTGCACATAGTACTAATTTTGCACATAGTGCTGTACAGTTACATAATTTTGCACATAGTACTAATTTTGCACATAGTACTGCACAGTTACCTAATTTTGCACATACTACTGTATAGTTACATAATTTTGCACATAGTGCTGTACAGTTACATAATTTTGCACATAGTGCAGTACAGTTACATAATATGCACATGGTACTAATTTTGCACATAGTGCTGTACAGTTACATAATTTTGCACATAGTGCTGTACAGTTACATAATTTTGCACATAGTGCTGTACAGTTACATAATTTTGCACATAGTGCTGCACAGTTACATAATTTTGCACATAGTGCTGCACAGTTACATAATTTTGCACATAGTACTAATTTTGCACATAGTGCTGTACAGGTACATAATTTTGCACATAGTACTGTACAGTTACATAATTTTGCACATGGTGCTGTACAGTTACATAATTTTGCACATAGTGCTGCACAGTTACATAATTTTGCACATAGTACTAATTTTGCACATAGTGCTGTACAGTTACATAATTTTGCACATAGTACTAATTTTGCACATAGTGCTGTACAGTTACATAATTTTGCACATGGTGCTGTACAGTTACATAATTTTGCACATAGTGCTGTACAGTTACATAATGTTGCACATAGTGCTGTACAGTTACATAATTTTGCACATAGTGCTGCACAGTTACATAATTTTGCACATAGTACTAATTTTGCACATAGTGCTGTACAGTTACATAATTTTGCACATGGTGCTGTACAGTTACATAATTTTGCACATAGTACTAATTTTGCACATAGTACTGTACAGTTACATAATTTTGCACAAATAGTACTAA